CCCCCTCTACGACCTTCTCAAGGGACTCCCAAAGACGTCTCACAAGCCTCTCGTATTGACTCGAGAGGCTATTACGGAATTCACCGCTATCAAACAGCACCTAACGCCCGGACCACTCTCACAACAGACTCTTCTTCTACTGCAGTGGGCGCTGTCTTACAACCGGAGATCAACAGAATTCTCATGCCCGTTGCCTTCTCACAACGGCTTCAACCACCACACCTCAAGAACAGCGCCTTCGATCGAGAACTCCTGGCCATATACCTGGCTGTCAAGCATTTCCAGCACTTCCTCAAGGCACGTCAGTTCACCATCTTCACTGATCACAAGCCCCTCGTCCATGCCTTTGCTTCAGCCTCCCAGTCACATACACCTTGTGTCCTTCGCCACTTGGCTTACATCTCGGAGTTCTCCAGCGACGTCCAACACATTAAAGGCAGCCACAACGAGATCGCTGACGCCCTCTCTCGTTGTATATCCAGCATTCTTCCCTCATCTCCACCCATTGATTACAGGCAGCTTGCCGCGGCTCAAGAGAATGACGAAGACCTGGCAGCATACAAGACATCTCCCTCAGGTCTCACACTCCAAGAACTCCCTGTTCCCGGCATGAACATCAAGTTGTGGTGCGACGTATCCTGTGGGCAGCCTAGACCGTTTGTGCCTCTCGTCCACCGCCGCGCTGTTTTCGACTTCATCCATGGTCTCAGCCACCCGGGTGTGCGGGCCTCCCAGAACCTCCTCACGCAACGTGTCATCTGGCCTGGCATCAAGACCGATACTAAGAAATGGGCTGCCCAGTGCCTGGCCTGCCAGTCCTCCAAAATACATTGTCACACACGGGCCCCCCATTAGAAACCTTCCCTATACCCAAAGGATGTTTTCAAGTAGTGCCCCTCAACATCGTGGGACCTCTCCCATCATCCTGCGGTAGCACCTACATCTTCACCTGCATCGAACGTTTCACTAGGTGGACAGAAGCCATCCCAATGACCAATGCTACAGCAGAGTCTGCCGTCCGCGCCCTCATGTCCGGTTGGGTTTCCCGCTTCGCCCCCCCCCGCAACTGTCATCACTGACCGAGGAGCCCAGTTTGAGTCACAACTCTGGCACAGCCTCCAACAGTTCCTCGACACTTCTAGGCAACGCACTACCGCGTACCACCCTCAATCCAACGGCATGGTAGAACGGTTTCACCGGCAGCTAAAGGATGCACTCAAGGCACAGCACGACCCTTACAGCTGGACGGATGCGCTACCCTTAGTGCTCCTCAGCATCCGTGCTTCACACAAGGAGGACATGGACTGTAGCCCAGCAGATCTCACCTTAGGCGAGCCCCTTCGCTTAATTGGAGATTCTCACTCCCTCCTGACCTCCACCAATCCACTCCTGTCGTTCGTCACGACTTACTCCAAAAGCTACGACGAGCAGTTTCTGCATTCAGAGCTACTGCTCCACGCCAGCCTCCTCGCCGCCTTGAGCACATCCCTCCTCCACTACTCACTGCCGAGTATGTTTTCGTCAGGCATGATGCTCACCGCAACCCACTACAACGCCCCTACGATGGACCCTTCCAGGTTGTTACCCGTTCAGCGAAGTTCCTGACGATTATCCGGAATGGCAGACACGACACCGTCAGCATACACCGAGTCAAGCCGGCCACCTTACCTGTTGGGCCCCCAGCCCAGCAGCACCCCTGTAGGTTATGTATCTATGCTACTGTCCGAGTAGCATTTATATATGTAATTATGTGGCAACACTGCACGTGTTATGTGGCAACATTGCCCCGAGGCTGCCATATGGCAAGGCAGTCTCAGTCTGACTCTGTGGGTCGTGCAAGTCACACGCTAGTCACCACTTGTATTTCTCCTATCCATTAATAAATGGACTTCAGTGTTACCCGGTGTTTCCCTACCCATCACTGCCTTCTTCAGGGAACACTTGGAACCTTCAACCCCCAACAAACTACACCTGCACCAGTCGAACCGCAGTTACCACCTGCAGCAACACCCTGCCCATGACATTTCTGGGCACCCTCTTTTCACCCTCAGGTACCCCCTGCTCCTGTCCTGCACCCTGCTGCTGCCGTGGACCCTGCTGCTGCCGTGGACCCTGCTGCTGTCGTGGACCCTGCTGCTGTCATGGACCCTCCTCCTGACGTGGCCCCTGATCCAGTCAACCCAGCCAGTGACCCCGAGGACGCTGCCCCTGCCGTGACAGAAGCACAACAACCATTGCCTGTACAACCTCCTCTAATCCAAAACCCTCCTTCTTCCGCTGATTCTCCCACAGGTTCTGTGTCACTAGACGGAGTCGTCACTCGCAGCAGCCGAGTCGTACGTACACCTGCCCGGTATGTATCACTTGTGGGATGCAACCCTGCCAACATCCAGTATCCCGCCGCGCCCAGAGGGGAGGGGGAGTATTGTAGTGGATCCTCTCCCCTACAACTACCGACTGAGGTCCTGCCGAGCGCTTACCAGCCAATCAGAGTACAGCCAGCGATGCTGATAGACCTACTCCCCGGTGCGGATGCACACGTAGCAACTCCAGGAGAGGCCATAGCTTCCCACGACATGCCAGGATCACGGAGTTTGGCACCTTTCGCATTCTCCTCCGTGATTGGCTCCCGCGCTACGCTCGCCTCGATTCCTGATCCGACAGAATTGTATAAGTACAGGCGTGGCTGGCCAAGGAGGCCATTCTACTCTGACCGTCTGGACCAGCAACATCTCTCTACAGCTCCTCACCAACCAGCTCCCTCAGAAAGCTCCTCGCCCAACAGGACCTCTGGGCAAGCTACTCATCACCTAGTAAATCCTTAGCACTGCACTGTACAATATATATACAGAAAACGCATTGTGAGTTTCTATTCTACCTTAATCTTGAGTGTGAGATATCTTACATGTACGTACGTGTGCGGGCCCATACAAAGAGATAATAAGACAACCAAAGAGAATTGACAACTGGCCACATACAGTGCCTCAACATGTGTGTTGCAGTAATTACCCGTGACGCCCTTGACCATCCACTGTGGGACACACTAGTGTTATAGTTGACCCACGCACACACACTGCACACAGTTTCTCGCCAATCTAGCAACTTAAAGCTGCTTTTTGCAAACATGACATGAAGACAACCTTTAGGCAAGCATAATTATTGTGCCAAGCCGTTTCCTTGCTAACTATGCTATTTTCAAGATACTTTGCTGAACTCTCTACCATTAAGGCAGCTTATCCCTAATTTAGTTACATCTAAGACATTAAGTAGATTCTTGCTAACGGAAGAACAAGTTTATCTTTAATCTCCACACGTAAAACACCTTTGCCATTGTAGGGGTATCGAGATATTAATGTCGTCTAGCACTCAAGATGGAAGGAAACTCTAATGTGGTTTTCTCGTATAATATATAAGTTATATGATAGACAGTCTGGTGCTGGAGGTGCTGTGTGGTGAGGGGCTGCTTGGTAGAGACGTGCGGTGAGTAGCTTGTTGAAGGAGGTAGATGTGCAGGAGCTTCGTTAGAGAAGATGTTGCCTGTTGCTGGCCTCCTGGTTGAATGAAATGTTAACAGCGTGGAGCTTGCTGGAGGAGATGTTGCTTGTTCAGGACAATGGGCAGAATGAGAGTTGGTTGGTGAGGAAGCTCAGAGAAGGACATGCTCGCTGGCGGGAGCGAGGACCGCCAGGCAGGCGGAGGAGAGGCGAGGGTCGCCAGGCAGCGGCAGAGGAGGAGGTGTTGCTTGTTCAAGAAGATTGGTCAGACTGAATCTCAAGGGAGAGACAGAGCTTATATACACCCAGCAGCGGCTATGAGTCATGGTGGGAAAACCCGAGAAGTAGCCGGTGACTAGTTCCGTTGCTAAGATACGGCGGGCATTGGAATGCGGATACGCTTGGTTGCTAGGGAAGACGGTAACAGGTGGTGGCGTGGCTACGCAGTTAGGCAGTTGTAGGGGAGACGTCCACTACACCATAATCAACTCGACCTCTTCACCAAACTATTTAGGTAACAAATTTGCCACAAACATAACAAACTGGTAAAAGTTTAATACTCTTAAGTGGCCTTGAACATCCCAAATATATTAATGTAGACAACTAAAGAGAATTGACAACTGGCCACATACGGTATGCTACAGTGTCATACATGCTTTAAAAACAACCCTTGGCTTTGGTTATCCTAAGGTATGAATATTTTACTCTGCAAACACAACAAACCGGAACTTGGGGGTAGCATACTCCAAGATACTGTATTTTTTGTCTTATAAAAAAAAATCAAACCATTGGCTGACAGACTGACACAGGCACCCACATACACGTAACGTAAAACTAGCGATAATAAGCTTGGCGGGAAGCACTCACCAACTCATGACATTGTTACAAGACCAAGAGACCTCGGGATGAGAGAGGAGTCAGCTATCCCTATTCCATTTTAATAAACTATTGAATATATGGAAGAGTTTTTAATTGTCGTTGTTCCCGCTTTTTTCTGTAGGTTGAGATAGAAGTCTCCACCACCACCACTACTGTCACTACCACGCCAACACCCAGTCCACCACTACCACATAACCACCACTAAAATCATGAAACCTCGGCCCAATAAGCGTGTGGCCTTCGTGGGAGTTCCGACATCACAGAAGGCAGCAAGAGACACGCCTATCCACTAAGACCTGACAGAGGAAGGGGAGGAGGGAGATAACACAAGACGACCCCGCTCAGCCGCTGTATGTTCACGGCCTGGAACGAGGTGACTCAGGTGAGGTAGTCAGTAACGAATACCCACTTCAAAAATTTAAAATAAGTAAACGTTTCTAGCTAACAGACATTTGTGAGTTTAAAAACAGTCCGGGTTAGTTATTAATCATTAAGAGTGTTATATTCGGTATTATATTCTTCTAAATACACTGTACTTACTCACAAAATAAAGTTTGAGCGATATTGTTTGCTGGCGACGTTGTTTGCTGGCGACGTTGTTTGCTGGCGACGTTGTTTGCTGGCGACGTTGTTTGCTGGCGGTGGTCGGTGGTTAACACGTTCCTGCAGGAGGTAAACAAACACGCAGGAGAATAATTTTCTAAAATAAGCTGTACCTGTAATAAAAAATTCTTTCGATTGTGGTAAGATCTATAATTTAATTTGCCGTCAGAAAAATAATTAATTATTTTGCTAAATGAACGGCACGAATTATATGATATACAAATATTTAGATACTTCATTTTACTGAAAAAAAGTAATATACATAAGTCTAAAGGGGCGCCAACGGCTCACGTCTGTTGCCGCTGTGCCTAGTGGTTAACGCTTACCTCAAAGGCAAGACTTTAAAGCTAAATAATCTTGTACGTAGTGTTTGTTAGTGAATTCTATATTTCAGATACATGTGCATGGTGCTCAAAGTTTATTACATTTGTAGATGATGATGCTTTTATTTTTGGTAATTCGTAGATAAGTCATTTATGACAATTTTACGAAAATGGAAATAAGCATCCTTGTGTCCTTACGTAATTCTTGTCAATTAACTCCTTGTCCTGGATATAAAAATCATTGCCTCTTATCATAAGAGACATTTAGTGGGCAGTGTTTGTTCCCTAAGTGATAATTATATCCCTTTTCTTATTTGGTATTCTGGCAAAGTTAAGACAACCTACATGTTTGGTTGCAAATTTGGTAAAATTGCAGATTACAGCAACCAAAGAATCTGATAAAAAAAAAAGGTGAATTTATAGTATCACACCGGTCTTTATTTCCGTATTAAAAATATGGATCAAGTAATGTTTACACAATTCTAAGATATTTCTTCTGGATCAATTTTTACTTATGCACCGAATTTTATATTTATTTCCGCCGGAAATCAAAATTTTTTGCCCCCACCCCCAACAATAATGGGGGGGGAGAGCCTTGGGAAATTGAGTATTTTTGGGTGGGGAAGAAAACGAAAACAAACCTAACCTAACCCAATCATTGATCACGACTGGATGACGTCAGTCAATATTGTGCATGCGTGATGCACAGATAACATCTCCTCAAGGTAAATAAGACATGGTGACACCTGTGACCGAGCAAATTTAATAATGTTGAAAAGTATTATCTCAGTTATCTTTAATTTCTGGCTGAAATATCTTAGAAGAAAAAGGTCTTAGAATTGTCTAAACATTACGAAATACATATTAATAACAGCGAAAGAAAGACCGGTGCATAAAAAAAATTCACCTATATTTCCACCGGAAATTAAGGATAACCGAGATATGAATTTTTCAAGATTATTACCTTAGCTCAGTCACAAGTGTTGCCACGATTTGTTTACTTATGGCGGAGGTAGTCTGTCCCCCTGCTCACGCATCGCTCCAGGCCTCCGTCTTCGCTCTTTAAGCGTCCGGGGCACGAACAATGGGTTAGGTTTTCTTGCTTGGTTGGTAATATAATTTATCTTATTTATTAAAAAAAAAATTCCAACTTTTTCTGTTATAATTGTTGGGGTGGGTATCTAAAAAAAACACGTGATTTCCGGTGGAAATGAATAACAAATTCGTTCGAAACTCATTAGAATACATAGGAAAAACCTATTTTAATATCGAAATAAAGACCGGTGTGATACAATAAATTGACCCCAAAAATTGTTTGTCTGATTGTTTTTGATGCGATTGGTTTAAATCTGACATTCTTTATTATTGGAAATCACTCGTTTTGAATTTAGCCCCACCCCGATAATAGTTCTATCGATTGCGTGTTCTGAATTCCCGGTACTCTGTGCTTGCTAACTTATACCATACAACCTAACTAACCCATACCTGACCCCGTACCGTGGGCTCCGCCCCCGGACCCCCAAACGCTATGTAATTACCCGAGAGTCGCGTGGTCAGCCTCCACGAGAATGTAAATAGCCATTATAGTATTTCTTACCTTACTCCTCATCAGGGTCAGAGTCTGAGTCAGGGACCAGAATGTGTCGTGGGTTCCTCTGTTCTCTAGACTTTCCTTATTTTTTTAATGAAATAATACAATAAGCTTCCAATAATCGAAATCCCACCCAGCACATAATGGCTCCAAGTTGCAACTGATGAAAAATGTTCCGCATTCAACCACCCATGCTGTATATTGAACGCTAATGGGTTGAATCAAAAGTTTATATTTTTTATTGGATTTGATTGGCTGCAGTCACCCCCGATTTGATTGGAGGCCTTCCCCAGCACATACGCGGGAGGTAAGCAAATGTACGAATACAGACAATTTAAGCAACAGCGTAGGGGCAGCAGGTACTCTGATTTTATATAATTTTTTTTAAATTCAATAACTTCCTTATTGTCAATTTGCGACGGAAGTGTAATATAAGTAAATGATCATACAAAAAAAATTTTCTATCGATTAAGAGTAGTGAATTAACGGAATTATGTGGTTGCTGTAAACTGCAATATTACCTTAAATTTTTATATATCTAAAAACAAAAGCCTAATTTATGGAACATTTCAAACTGTCAGTTCCATTGTCAGTACTGTACAGTACTTTTAAAAATGGTAAAATTATCGTTTCGGTCATTCACCTATTTGGAAGTTGAAATTATGTTTTTCGATGGTTTTGTGATGTTTTGAACAATTCTGATCAACATTTCTACTGCAAATCACTAATTTTTTAGCTATCCTCCCTATCTTGTCCAGCAATAATGGGGGGCAGTGGGAACCAGGGGTTTTGGGTGGAGGAAAATCACATAGTTGTAATTTGTGATAGAAATGAAGGTCAGCATTGTTCAAAACTCAAAAAAAAAAAAAACATCAGAAAAACGTAATTTCAACTTAACCTAACCGGTAAAAATCGGTCACAGTGCTACTTTTCAAATGCAACCTAATCTAATCTATCCTAACCTACTGTGTGCACCCAGTCGGCTAACCTACTGTATGTCCAAACAGCGAAATAATATCCTCACATGGCTAGGGGTAACAACCTAACCTATCCACCTGTGTGCTTACCTTAATTAGACTCGGAAGACAGAGTTAGGGTCATCTGGGTGCTCCTCGTTGCACATCGTGGAAACGAATTCAAATTCAAGCGGGTGGCAGTGGAGGCCTATATCGAGCTGTGATTGGTTGATACAAATTCATGCCTACCAATGAGTATCCAAAGAACAACTGCGCATGCGTCAGATTCTAGCGCATGCATAATGCAGCATAGTAACCAACAAACGAACACACAGGAGCTCTCTCGGATGGAGGTAACATAGACATAGAACTTAGAAAAAATACAACAATTTTCCAACAAATTATTGCAATTTTCTCGGAAAGTAATCATTTGCAGAAGAAATGAGTCTTAGAATTGTATAAAGTACTGAATCCAAAACTTAAAATCCTAAAAATCGCTGGATGAGCAAAACGATAATACAGTAACCTTAAAAATTAGTTTATATAATACTGTGTGAAAATGGCCCCTAAAAGACTGCCTAGTGTCAGTGCTAGCGATGCTAGTGGAGTGAAATGTAAAAGCTAGAAGTCGGTGATGACCCTGACAGAAAGTTGAATTATTAGACAAGTTAAAGGAGGGGGATGAGTGCTGCTGTGGCTGGTCAGAAGTTTGGTATAGGTATACGGTAGTGCACTAAGGTAGTGTAAGTTGCTATTTGTGGTTTTGCCTATTCGCACCATTCCTCGGAACCTAACTCCCACAAATAACAAGGGTTTACTGTACTGTAGTTGGACTCAAATCCCATATTATAGCTTTGGGTATATTGTACTGTACTGTAATTGGATTCTAAGTGAATTGTATGTTCCTATACAGTACAGGTATACAGTACCCCAATCTGTGACTGGGTCAGGTTCCTGAAAACTCCATCACCATGTGAATTATCATAGATCAGGAGCATTATAACATAGTGTTCAATGGGATACGTTCCTGGTCAGTTGGACATCCACATATTTCACAGAAAAAATTCCTAGAATACTATTATCACTCAAACAGTCAGAGCAAAAGCACTTCACAGGCAGATGGGAAACACTTCAGTTACTAAAATAGAACGAAAGCACTTCAGTCACTAAAATGGAAAGCACGCACTTCATAGTCACTAAAACAGCAAAATCACTTCACAGTCACTAAAACAGAAAGAACTTCAGCCACTAAAATAGTGCAAGCACTAAACTGGAAAGCACTTCACAGTCATTAAAACAGAGGGAAGGTCCTTCACAGTCATTAAAACAGAAGGAAAACCATTCCTAGTCACTAAAACAGGGAATGCACTTCACGGTCTCTAAAACAGGGAAAACACTTTACAGTACCTAAAACAGGGAAGGCACATCACAGTCACTAAAACAGGGAAGGCACATCAGTCACTAAAACAGGGAAAGCACATCATGGTTTCTAAAACAGGGAAAACACTTTACAGTATACCTAAAACAGTATACCTAAACGATTAATATGCAACAGTTTGCTGGACTGTTGTGCGCAAGATGGCGGTGTGTGGCAGCATGTGGGTAGATGACGACGCAGCTGATAAATGCAGTGAGAGATGCGTACCATATTCCGTGTTGGCTGGATGATGGCCATCGTTAATGCGGGTTTGTTTACATCGCAAATTGGGAAGTGGTCTTAATACATTACCGTCGTTAACGTGAACTATCGCAAATATGGAGATCACAGATTGGAGTATACCTGTACAGTACTTAATGTTCTTCCTCAAGGAGGACTGAGGAAGATGAAAGCCATGTTGATTTTCATTGGTGTTGTTATATGGCAAGTTATCTGTGCTTGTGGAGGATGCAAACCATCTCAAAGAGTTCATCTGTCAAGATGGACTCGTTGGCAGGATGTGCAGAGAACTGACAGTGAAGAAGAAATGCAATGTATGTGTTTTAGTGCAACAACTGATCGTACTCTTACGTCCATAAAAAACGTAAAATTACACAATGCCTTTTCAAGAAAATTCCATTTATTGGTACCAGTACAGTAAGTTCTTTCTGCTTAATATGCCAGGGGTTCTGCAGACCCCCAGTTTGGAAGTAAGGTAAAGTTAGGTAGCTTTGGTTGGTTAGGTCAAGTTCTGTTGGGTTCTGTACATTGTTGTTTCCATTTTCATAATTAGTACAACATGCAAATAGTATCTCAAGAAATTTTGGTCCAATTCCATAAGTTTTTTCTACTGTTAGACATGTTTTCTACCTTTGCCCAAAACAAACACAAAAGTGATAATACTGACTACTGTAGTGCAAAAACAAAATATCAAGTGCTTAGTATCAAAGAAAGGGTGAATATTTTCCAAAACTCCGTCTGGAAAATGCATTTTCAAGCATTTTGGACTTCTAATACGTATTCAAGTGTACAGTGCAGTACTGTACTGCATCTTGTAAGATGTGCATTTTGATAGTTGGAATGAGATATTGTACAGTATTTAAAAAAAACATTGAAGGAATCTTTCTAATTTGAAACAAGGCTTGTACGATATGGTCTGGTGTTGGGAGGATTTACAGTAATGTAGCAGTACAGTCTACTATATTTTGTACTTCTAGAATGTTAGTTGCCAGGAGTTTCTGGTGGAATTAGTTGTCAAAGTCTGGGAAGATTTGTAAAATGAACCTAACATAACCAAGAATAATAGTTATAGTCGAGATTAGTTGTGTGCCTTAACTATCTATTGTAGAACATTTCATCATAAAACATAAATGCTTTCTTACTTCATGAAATCCTTGAAAAGTGCTCAGGCAATACATTTTGCTTAATATAAATTTTACGTCTATTTTCTCTTGAACACATTTCGACAGGCACCTCTCCCAACATTTGATGTGGTCATGACTCCCTTTCCACTTCCTTGAAAGTTGGACAGTTCCTTTTTTAGTTTTTTATAAGGTAATATTAAAAGATAACTTCTGTTTTAGCTTATAGCAGATTTGGTTAGGTTGGTTTGAATGATGTATGCTAAATTTGTATACGTACTGAGCAGTATATTGTGACCGTAGCCAGTACCTCGAAGCTATCTGAATGGTTCCTTTCATACACAATTTTATATACGTACATTATACATATAGCTAGGTTAGGCTTAGTTTGGTTTGGTTCAGATGGTTCATTTTTTATTGTAAAATCATAAAATGAAGCCAGACTTGGTAAGTTGTTCCTTTGATGTATGAATTGGTGCCAAAATTTGTATTCAGTTGAAAGTTCAATTAGGTGAACTTTTCACATTTGTGAATAGGTGTCTGCCTCCATATACAGTAGTTTGTAACGAAAGACTGTACCATAAATAGATTTAAAATCACTTCGAGATACAGGTATTCCTTTACCGTATGTTGAGCTAGACAGTTGCATCTACTGTGAAAAATTATTACATGACAGGCAGAGCTACTCACTTTGAGATCAGGTTTTCCCCTTAACTTACAGGGATGTGATTTCTCCATTTTTTTTTCCAGTCCCCCCATCGTTTTAGGCGACCCATATGAATCACATAGATCCGTTGAGAACATTTTGGGGGGTGGTATGACCATGATGAGAGAAATGTTTGACAATAAATAACAAATAATGATCCTCTAGGGTCAATGGATATGCTGTGTGAGGATGATGAGCCAGTATGCTGAGTACGGTATAGTGGCCGCACTCTGTATGCTCATGCATTACATCATATTACTCTATTTCTCATTGGCTGAATATTGCTTGTTTTGCATTTCATTCTTCGATTCTTAAGTATTTTGTTGACCAAAGATCAATGGCATCATACAATGCCATGATTAGAAGCATTATAATATGCTCCTCCACCCATTCCACTTGATCCACCCTCCCCTGTTGCCACTGGCGGGGTAAGGGCTAAGCATTTTTCAATATAACTAAGTGTCTATCATAATTTTTATACTTTCTGATGATCACAATTTATTTTATAACCCATGCCATATTTCATACTTGAAACTGCAACTCAGAGGGCGTGTGTGTCTCCCAGGAGGTCAGGGCTGTAGGGCATGTGTGTGTGTGTCCCCCCAGGAGGTCAGGGCTGTAGGGCATGTGTATATGTGTCCCCCAGGGGGTCAGGGCTGTAGGGCATGTTTGCATGTGTCCTCCCCAGGAGTTCAGGGCTGTAGGGCATGTGTGTGTGTGTCCCCCCAGGAGGTCAGGGCTGTAGGGCATGTGTATATGTGTTCCCCAGGGGGTCAGGGCTGTAGGGCATGTTTGCATGTGTCCCCCCCAAGAGTTCAGGGCTGTAGGGCATGTGTGTGTGTCTCAGGAGGGGGACCCTATGATGTGTAGGAACATAAAACTCTCCAGCAGTAGGTATAGAAGCATGTTAAAGCAGAAGAGGTTGCAGCAGGAAGAGAATAAGAGGAAATTTTTGTTAAAGAAACAGTTAGAATCAAAGAAGACCTTCCAGCAACAAAAACAGAAGCGTTTGCTCTCCCTGATGCAATTAAAACTATGAATAAAACAAAACCAAATGAGTGAATATTACATGGGAAAGAAAACTAAATATTTTGTTTGTAAATATCATGGAACATGTTATTGAAACCCCATTTGCTGGTGCATTAGAGATAAATCCCTTCGGTAAGTATTAAATTTTGAATTTGCACACAATATACTGCAAAAAAAAGCTTACCGGGGTACCTATTAGTTTATCTTCTCACAATAGTGGTGCACAATTAAAAATATTAAACAAATTCAAGTTTAGTAACAACTGAAATTTGTAAAGGAATTACTGTATTAAGAATACATGCATGAAAAATATTGTTGCAATAAACACACGTATTTGATTTTGGGTACTGTGTATTTTAACTATTAGGCACTCATAAAATGAGTAAGAATGTGAGAAATTAAGTTAAATATGGTAAAAAATTCCCGGGTAGGTGTTTCCCTGGATTCCACAGCTCAATCCCCCCCCCCCCAAGATCCAATCACATCCCTGAACTTAGCACTGCATTGCCTTAGCTCTATACCAAACATACTGGGTAACTTTAAACTGGGTCATTTAGTAAATGTAAACACTGTTGTAACGTGGAACAACCCTTTCACCTAGTGTCAGTGCTAGTGATGCTAGTGGAGTGAAATGTAAAGGGCAGAAGTCAGTGATGACCCTGACAAAGAAAGTTTTATTATTTGATAAGTTAAAAGAGGGGGTGAGTACTGCCACGGGTTGTCAGTTGTTTGGCATAGGTATACAGTAGTGCAATAAGGTAGTATAAGTTGCTATTCTCGGTTTTGCCAATTTGCGCCCTTTCTTGGAACTTATCCCTTGCGAATGGCAAGGGTCTACTGTAATCACAAGATCTCACCCCTTCACTGTTGGGATGCCTCTTTTAATGTTTTATTTAATTAACACCAAATGATTACCAAATGATTTTATTCAGTACATAGGAGAACCCATATACATGGGGTTAAGCTCCATCCACTAATGTTGGGAATACCCTGGGCCCTGAACCTGTTTTCCTAGTGAAGAGCATTAGGTGTAAAAGGTATTCAATTTACCGTCACTGGAAAGTAAACTAGAATGTAATTAGGAACTTTGATTGAAATTTCAGAAAGAGCTTTGTAGTATTATCTGGTCACCTTTTTTATAGTGAATGAAATGTGTTTTGGGGATGTTTTCATTACAGACAGTATCTCAATTATTTGTATTTTATGAAGTAGATTCCTCATGTGTACACTTATTGTTTCAGGCCACCATGTCTGAGATTGAAGCAGCAGTAGCAGCAGCCCCTTGCACCGGGGCTGAGGCTGCACAGCCTCAAACCAAGAAGCGTAGGGCTTCAGAGAATGGCATTTCCATAGCAGATTTGAAAAATGGGACTGACGATAAAGCTAGAGTTATTGATGAGAGCTACTTTGCGTGAGTACTGTATTTTTTTCTCCTTTTCTTTTTGTAGCTTAAGTATATTGCATCACGTGTTGAGTTAGCTTGTGGGTCTCATGTCACATTATGATATAATAGATTTTTGTATTACAGTAATTTTAATTGCAATCTAACCTAACCCATTATTGTGTATAGCATTATTGGCTTTTTCTATGAACATGACCTGAATGAGTGAGGGCAACTTGAATAGTTTACTGTATAATATGCATTTGTCTAAATAAATGAAAAGACAAATACTTGTACCTGTAAGTGGAAGAGAAATTAATTTTTGGGGTATCTGTTTAATACAGTAATTGAATCTAAAGGTCTCAAAGAAATAGAGAAGTAAACTATAGGGTATACTGTACACTGCAGTACAGTACAGTACAGTACTGTACTGTACTGTAATATCAGATTAACCCTGGGATTACATTATAGGGGGTCAAGTCCAAGATATATTATGCCCTTAAAGTGGTCATTCTGTTTTATGAGAACATCCCTAACTGTAGTTTCCACCTGAAAAAGATATATTCATATGAATCCTCTACAGGTATATTCTTGAGAAGCTAACCGTAGGTATTAGATAAAAATGCAAATGAATTATCAACATTATTACAGAATTCATACAGAATCATTCAACTTAATTTTCTGACCTTTCAGATCGTATTCAGATATAGAACTTCATCGTACAATGATAGAAGATAGTGTACGCACAAATGCCTACCAACAAGCAATATTTCAAAACATGGAAAATGATGTTCGGGGTAAAGTGGTAGCAGATGTGGGATGTGGCACAGGCATTTTAAGCATGTTTTGTGCTCAGGCAGGAGCCAAGAAAGTGTATGCCATAGATGCATCTAAGATTGCACTTCATGCTAAACAACTAATCGAAGCCAATGGCTACAAAGATGTTATTACAGGTTAGATTATTCTTGTATTAAGCATTTTTATACAGTATATTTTCTAACTAATGCAGTGGATTGGGTGACTCTTGTACTGTACTGTACTTGAATCAAGAAGCTTGTGGGCATAACCTTATGCATATGGGATTCCCTCTTGTGGTGAATAAAATCATCTGGCATTAGCCAAATAAAATACTAAAAGTGGCATCCCTATAGTGAAGGGGTTACCAGGAACTCCAGTCACTTCTCAGCTACAGTATTTGAATATCTCTCATATTGCTCCTTGTTTTGGCAACTGTGTTAACTTTATTTATTTATTTATTAAAAGCATTTGTTTGAGGAATAGACTAATTGCCATGCATTCCTTTATACTCGTATATCTTTTTTATATGAAATTATCATATTGCAGGAATGTTGATAGTTACTTAATGACCCATTTGGCACTACCAAGCATCATGTCAGTACTGTATTCCATAATGAGTAACTCATTGTTGTTTTTTCTCAGATGCAAAGTCTAGCTTAGGGCCACTTAAAGGATATTCAGGTTCTCTTTGGAGCTTCTCAAAGTGTGTGGCCAGGGATATTTTGTTTCTGAAGTACTGCATGAACCTTTATTCTCACTTTAGGATAAATCAGAATCACATGTTGTAATACTGTATTCTGTTTGGAGGTTATTTTTTTCCTTTTTGCCCAGTTATAGGGCATAGTGGTTAACTATGGCCTGAGTGTTAAATGGAGATAAATCGGTTGCTTTTATATGGAGTTTATGAGAAAATTTATCCTTTTAAGTTGAAGTTATCCCATAACTAAATGTTTATTTTGACTGTTGGCTCTAAGGAGTTTTCCCCAGGTAACACCCAGATGAAGAATTCATGAATTAGTCTCTCAAACTAGTTTGCTAGTTCTTGAATTCTGCAGGGCCCTTCATAGAAGAAGAATTGGAGTTGGCTCTAATTTAAGCATCATTACTCATGGCTTTTGTAACCAGTAGAAGGGTGTCTGAGCTTCATGCTCTGGGATGAGGAGAGAGGTTTCTTTCCTTTGGTCCCTCTATCCCAGACTAGAATTTGGCTTTGAAGTTTTTGTAAAAAAATTAGACTCCTACCTTTTCGCCTTAAGAAATTTTTCTCTCAGCTTAGACACAAGATGGTGGATCTCATAATTCACATTTTATTAGTGAAGGCAGTTCAGGATTAATTATAGTTGACAAACCTCTTTAATCAACAGTCATTGCCCTTAAACCATCAGTCTAAGTATGGAGCCTCTTGGCGAGGGTATGAAGAGTATCTAGTACAATTAAGCTCTCTTAGCTGGGTTGTATGTCCCACTTGTTTAACCTTTGAGGCTAAGTGAGGCTATTGCACCTTTGAATTGTCTGCTGTGGTATTTGTGAGTGTATGGTTAGTTATATTGTTTTAACCTTGCTTTCTTTTTTGTATTTGAGTTATGCAAAATCCTGAAGCTTTAACTGCATGTCTTTCTTTTTATTACTAGTTGGGTTTACACACGAGTGAACCAATATTCGCTGAAGTTTCAGATACTGATCCTGAAGTTCTGTTTTATAACTGCACATAATGTAGGTTCCTCCCTCTTCCCTTTCAGGTGCTGATGTAAACTGTACTTAAAGGGGTTGATGAGTGTCTGTTTTGTAGCCAGTGACAATCAAGTACCACAGGGTGCAAGTGCGTTAGCATAGTGGCTAAGATTCAGCTTCAGCTTGAGTGGGAGTTGATGCTTCCTGGACCCCTGTTTCTTTTAAGAGACAAGAGTTATGATGTTAAAAATTTACTTTTTTTTGGAATTTGTAAACATTTAATCCTAGTCAAATAGGTCAGGGTCCCCTAATGTTGTCAACTCATGGACTTTAATATTTACACGAGTCACCTGATCCACATTTTGTTATAAAGTGGGATTTCAGGATGAATCCCTCATACCTATATTTGGTAAAGTAATTATATGCTTTCTCCTAACAAAGTGTTTCCTAGATTAGCTTAAGCCTTCAATCCTCTGCAGGAAGGTTATTACATGTAGGTAATATGAGAGTTTTTAGGTATGCTAGTTTTGATAGCTCGGATGGAGCTCGACGATCATTGCTTGGGGCTGATGTCATTTGGATTCAGTTTATACATGTATTTGAAAAATGGTGACATGGGGAGAAATTGTGAGTAATGACCTCAAATAAGAACCTGTTAAGAAAGGTTCCATAAGACAATGCAGCTCGAGAGCTGCCATCAGGTAATCAAATCTAACCCATGCATGCATGGAAAATGGCTGAATGCAATGTTGGTGATGAAACTGAAATACTAAGAGTGTGAACATCGGCTAAAAGCCGAGTGATCTACAGAGAGAGAGAGAGAGAGAGAGTGTGAGTGTGTGGGTTCTCCTCAGTGTGTGGGTGCTCCTACTTAACATCCTGATACTCACTGTCATCCAGGGTGACGGCTGGGAGATTTTTTTCATGGCTGAAATATTGTAGATACTGACCATATGCATCCATAGAAGCCATAACTCCTAATAGGGTCTTTGAATAGTGATGGAAACAGTTGAAATCTAATATGTATCTATAATTTTAGACCCACAATCTAGGTATGATATTATGAATGCACTGTACTGGTGGAAGGGTTAAGCACTTAGTAGGGGGAAGTGGACTGATCTGATAGAAGCAGAGGTATGTATACCAACTTGTCTTCAGACAAATAATCACATTACAATATTAGAAATGAAGTACTATATCATTTATCATGTTGCTGTTGAAGTTACAGTACAGTACCTTGGTAAAGAAACATTAGCATTTATAGTTCCTAGAAAAATTTAAAGGATTAATCTTCAAAGATTTGTCATATTCTAATGAAAATATTGTGGCTTGATATCAAGATAATTTATTAAAGACTTTATTTGATGAATAGTATTACAGGGCAAGGCAGAGGAGGTTGATTTGCCCGAGAAGGTGGACATAATCGTGAGTGAATGGATGGGATACATGATGCTGTATGAAACCATGCTACCCTCTGTCCTCTATGTCAGAGACAAATGGCTCAAACCTGTAAGTAATGAAAGTTGCAGTATGCTGCAATGATCAATTTCTTCAAAGTAGAATGTTGAGTTGAACATATGACACTTGATTTATTTGTTAGAAACTGACTTGAGATTTTTTGAGGTAAAGACATGAAAATACTAAAGAGCATGTCTGTACATTTCACTTTGATTAGTATGTAATCTTCAACTTGAACTTGACCCATAAAAAGACTCTAAAATAAAACAAATAAAAACTGCAACAAAACTTACTCAGAACCATTAGCACTAAATTTAGATTGTTTCAACATAACTGTAAACAAGAGGCAGATAACCCAATCAAATACCAAGTCCCCATAATAAAATCTTAAGAAAACTAAAACTAAATAAAACAGCACACCCATTCACATTCCCAGTATGACTTTTATCCAACTCTACATCTTCATCTATCTCTCTTCCATAGTCATCGTTAAAGCCTTCAATACTATGCCTTATCACACCGATTGAAAGAATAATGAACTCAGCAGTGCACAATAATGATAAAATATGATTAACTCATTTTGCAGATTCTCCAAAATAGAGTCCTCAAGGATTCTGTTGCCACCCCTACCCACTTCAACATATTCCTCCCCCATCACCTAATAAGCAGAGAACTTGCCAGATGTAACTTGCACAAAGCAGGGCAAGGCTTCATATTTTTCTCACGTGGCCAGCCCATAGAATATTGCTGAAAAGTAGGTGTCAGTTTTTCTGTCATGGCCAACATTATGACAGAACTGCAATCTCCTCACAGGCATAAATAATTGACTATAGTTTTTCCCCTCTCAAAATTTGTAACAAAGGCCTAGGGTCAGTTTGTAGCAAGGCAGCTGATCACTGTATGATATGTTAAGGGATAATAACTTCTCTGTTGATTTCTTTTGGGGTTCTGCAACTGATAGTATGAATCCTTTTGAAAGCAATTCCTTGGTTATTTGAATGGTGAAAGCAGTGTGGATTTCACCTTTTGGAGTAGAAACTTGCTTTTTAACTAAAGGTCATAGCTGCTAATTCTTCAGAATTTTGTAAATGTACATCATCCTTCCCTTTCAGTTGTTTTTTGTTTTTTGTTTTTTCGGAGGGGGGGGGAGGAGTATTTGTGATATGCCTAAAAGAGAGGGGTTATTCCTGGATGTAGCATATTCATTCTAAAGTGTGAGGCAAGGAGGGCCTTAATAGAAGGCCCATTCTTTGGTCTTAGAACATGTTTGACTCGAGCAATGTTTCCCTTTTCTCTAACCTCATTTAGAAATTGAAAGATTTCAGCTTTGATGGTAGGTTTGGGCTTCATCCTCTTAAACTTTTTACAGCCATTTTCCTTGCTTGAGTGGATTAGCCATGATTACCTGATGGCATCTCTTGGCCTGCCCTGTACTATCATCCCCTCCTTATTCAAACTTGTGGATCTCTAACCTAATTGTTCTCCATTCTCTCCACATACTAAAACCACCTTACCTTACCTGTCCACTTCTAATCCATTGGTGAATTCTGGCACCAAGGGAGAAGCAGGGAAGTCTTTTCAAGGGTCTCCCATTGACCTATAATGCAGTACCAGGAGAGACTTGTGTTTCTTTTGGTATGTTAGTCGTATGGTTCAATTTCTGATGGAGTATTAAGATTGTTGACAAATCAAAGTTATAGTGTTGGGCCTAAAAGAATATTTCTCATGCATTGATCTGGATAGGGTTAGTTTTATTCCGTGGGTATGGCAAGGTCGATACACTATACAAATAAATTTATGAGCAGACCAATTAAATTTTTTCTTGTTATTCATTGGACTTAGTGAGGAGCCACTAGTGCTTATTTTCAGTAGAAGTCATTAGATTCATTAAGCTTGGTTGCATTCTTCACACTCATAATCTTGGGATTGCAATTTCCTTGGCCTCCTTAAGAGGTTCACATTTGAAGTCAGTCATCTGGTGAGGAGTGGGGGTGTGTATAGACATTACATAGGGTATCCACCCATGGAAATTAGATTGAGCCTAGTGTTAAGTTGGCCTGAGTGGCAGCTAGGAACTTGCTGTGCTCTTTCCATGATACCTGGGATAAAGGATGTGACATTCATTATTGCAAGAAGTTCACGCCTCACTTTTCCCTTTGATGCTAGCTTTCTTGAGTGTACATGAGTCACCCAATTGTCTGTGTCACCTATAATTGAGAGATTATTCCTGAAATTTTATTTTATACTAAACAAGGATCAGGCAACTCAAATCCCTATCCCTTCCCTAGAGATGTTGAGGAGTTGCAAATTGAGTTGTTGAATCTGGGGTCCCCTTTTATGGTATACCTTTACTTTGTTAGTGGGGCACATGCACAATAGCATGGTGGTGTAGACTAACAGTACTTGGTTTATCAGAACTATCCTCTATTTATAGGCCCTCCAGTTTCCTGGCTTTACTGGATTTCTGAAGTATAGCACAGTCATACAAATGGAGGGTTTCAGCACAGCATAAGTTGCCTGGTCATTGCTAGTTTTAAATTAGATTTTTGTTTAATTAAGTATTAGATTAAGAGACTGTACAGTACATGTACTGTACTTCCAGTAAAAAAAAAAAAAACACCAAGAGTGTCCCCATAAATATATAAATTTAGTTATTTTATAAATTGCTGTTCTCTGAGTGTCATATTATTATATCCCTGAATGAGTTTAATGTGCTATGTACCTATCACAGGGTGGTAAAATGTATCCAGAGAGGGCAGTGCTGTACATGGCACTAGGAGAAGCACAGTGGATTACCAAGTACGAAGAAGGGACCTATGACTTTTGGATTTCCCTTAACCATGTATACAACCTCGACATGTCTCTCTTGGCTGACCATGCTGTTGCTAGATACAAAGGTGGGGATCAGGTTTAAATTATAATTTCTTCAGTATGAACTATGCAGGGAATAAATATTATTATATTTTCCAAGATTTCACCTGCAGCATATTTTTCCTTCATAATGGAATTATATTAGCTTCACAAACAAATTACTCATTTCCACTCTGAAAGTTGTTTATTTAGGTATACTGTATCAGAATACAGTATTATGGGATCCTGCCTAAAATCATCAATGCATTTTAAACATTACATTTTAAATGAATATGATTTTCCTATTTATTTAAATATTATTAATGTTTTTCAGTATATCTGAAATGTATTCACTGCCATGTTAGTAATAGTGATATTGGTCGGTATGTTATAAACTAACATTAGTAGAAAGTGATAATATTATGGCTGATGGGTTACCTGTGAGATTCCCAGCACACTGCATAGCCTGTGGCTGATCTATGCTTGTTAGTAATATATTCACTGCAAAGCAGCTCTTCACCCTATTAATTTAAGTTCTTTTGTATGGATGCAATAGTCAATCTGTGGTTTGGGCTGGGCTACACCTCCCACCTCATACCATCTTGTTGCATGAGGGCACAGCACCATTGGAAACTCCTGCCCACTATATTGTGCCAAATAGCCTGATTCACTCTTCACTTCATGATACAGTCCTCTTCGCTATTGTGTTTACAGAGGCTCGTTATATAAACATTCCACAAACCTTTATCTTTGATATATTTGTTTTAATATTGTTTTAATTTGATTCCATAGTGTATTTACTATTGCGAGTTTCCTTCAGTCAAATGTAAACAAACTCAGCTCTGCGACTGCACAAAACCTGACAAGCTCCTGTAAATGCACTAGTGAAGGGGACTGTACATACTGTACATGCAGACAAGCCACCAATCTTGGGATCCAGAGAAGACTCATTTCTTGGCTTTCAGACTTCCTTAGTAAATGATGCCAGGTTGTGTAAGTCTAAAGGTCTCTAATTTTCGATCAGTTCCTTGTGGCATACTCGGGACACAAGGATGGGACCTGTCTGATTCCTTATCCTCTTCAACAAATCCTGGCTGAAAGGAACCCTCTTATTGTTGGATATGAGTTGATAACTGTACAATTATAGTGCATTAAAGCCTCAAGAAACAAAGGTAAAATAATAATACTGCTGCTGGTGCCTTTTTTTTTTTTTTTATAAATGGCCTCCAGCCTCCCCCAATAGCTACACCTTCGCCACCATTTATTTACCTTAATATTAAATATCCTAATACATAAGAAGCTATCCTATCTGTGTTAAATTAGTTGAGGCGCAGATCTATGCGGCATTCAGTGACTGTAGCCTCATAGTCAATATCTGCAGCAGTTGTCGGAGTAGGAGCAGAAGCTCTCGTTCCCCTGAGGCAGAGCAAAGCCGACCGAAAGAGAGAGAAGGACAGTCGACATCTCATCCAGGCTGTAACATAACTTCTGGGCTGCTGCTTCTGTTCGGAGATCAACTCCGCGAGTCTGGCGTAGAAACATCTTGCACTTGGGCCCATCCCACCAGAGGTTGTGAACACTAGAGGAGTGAAGCTGCCTTGATCAACGTTTTGAATTCTCTCCCCATATGCCCTTCTCTTGTCGTTCTCGTTCCTCCTATGTGCAGCATCGAGAGCTAGGTTACGGTGACATGCGGCCATGGGATCAAAAATCCTGATGTCGAAGAAAGCTCGCTGTCCCAGCGTCCAGAATCCTCGAGCACTGACGTCCACACGGGCTTCGTTAGATGTGTTTGAAGTCCTGTGTTGGAAGATCTCGCCATCCAATGGAAGGAGGGTCTGTTCTACCATGACGTCCCGGCAGATTTCCTTCAACATATTTGCTGTGAGATCCCTTACCTCGTCATGCCTCATGCATATGAAGCCTCCCTTCTTGAAGACCATGGCGTGATCGCCATCATAGGAAGAGCCACACACGCATTGGGAGGGCAAACCTTCTACTGGCCAACCGTACCTTAGAGCAATGGCATCTGTAAATTCTTGTTTATTAAGACTGAAACAGATTTTCAGATTTGCCCCCGAGGGGGCTAGTTTATTGGGCACCCCCTTACATCCTGTGCAAGGTGAAGCGCAGAAGCGTTTACAGCGCCCAACAGGGAAGTATGAAAAGTTCATATTTGCGTTTATGACTCGTACATTAAGGGCGTAAAAGCCTGAAGGGTCATAGGTTCTGTCAAGTTACATAAAGTGAGAGAATGATGAGTGTGTTGGGGGAAAGTTCCCGGTACATTTTATCTGTTTATGGCAAAGAGTGGCAGGTCCCTAATAATGTCAAATGCCAGGCCTGTGACTAGGAGGAGGGATATCTGGTCTGGGAGGGAAGAGGTGTTGGTAACGGCTGGGGACCTATAGGAGGAGGTCATAGGGCAAGTGAGGCTGTAGTGAGAGAGGGTGTGAGAGTCGGGTTGGCCACAAAGTTTACAAACAGTGCGGTGAGGCTCAGGGTTGCCAATGTACTCCCATAGGTACCTGTACCCTTGGCGCAGTCTCATGTATATAAGCTGTTGAGATCGAGTCAGGGATTGATATTCTTTGTAGTGGCGGTTGTCGTCACCGGTTACAGCGTCATAGTGGCATAGTGTGACGCTACCCCGTTGTTTCAGGTGTGTCCAATTTTCGTTGAATGCCTCATAAGACTGAAACCATTTGCCCTTATCGGTAACGTAGTTAACCAGTTCGAGGCGCCCACCTCCTGCGCTATAGCTACTTTTTTTTCAAATTTTCTGGAACCTGCAGCAAATGTTGCTGCAACTTATCATTTTGGCAGTGCTGTCGATCTGTCGTAATGGACCTACGAATCTTATTTACTTCGCTGGTATCCACTTCCCCTGTTGCATTCTGGGCTATTATGTGGTCCGTGAGGGCTGCCGTGAGCTTAAGTGAATTTTGATGTTCAGTGGCAGCAATCTCCTCTGGATTAGTTAGTCCCATCCCTCCCAGTCTTGGTGGAAGTGCAAGAAGTGCTCTTTCTGCTGGGGTTAAGTCAGGGTGTTTCACTAGTTTGGGAATGAACTTGACACTGATAGCTTCTTCCAGAGGGTGGAGGAGGGGTCCGATCTCAGGGATGGTACGCATCAGGTAGTTCCAGCGATGCTTGACTCCATGGGTGAATGCTGCAAAGGACGCATGTGGCTCTGTGTTAGCAATCTCAGACAGAGCTTGGATTTCACTAACCCACTCATTCACCTTTCCCGCTACGTACTCGGTCTTGAAGTCCGTAGTGCCAATTACTGCGCCTAGATGTCTTTGGCTGTCCTTAGTTATTTTGACCTCAGTTCCGTCAAAAACCTCCAATGCCCGTTCATAATGTTCTGGCTTCACGATGAGGAAGGACTTGCTGGCGTTTGGGTGGTACCCTATTTGTGGACCTCGTGATGTTACCAAGTCCCACCACTTTTTGATGCCCTCCACTTTTCCTGCTCCTGTAAGGTCATCATCATATGCCACTTGTTTGACCCCAGTTGTTTCAAATTTTATTTCTTGTTGGAGCACTGATAGGCCAATTGCAAACATTGCCATTGCAATAGGGTCCCCCTGTGTTGTTCCCTCGGTTGACTGTAAGATGGTATCACCTCTTAGAGCCTTGTTGTTTACTATATAGAGGTCTGATGGATTCCTATACGAATTTTCAACATACATTGCAAAGCTTGGACACTTGATCTTGATGTTGTGCAGTGCAGCCTTGCAATTAAGTATTTTGAATGCGTTTGAAGCATCCACCAGGAGAACGGCCTCACATTCACGCTGCTCAAATATCAATCTCCTGGCGTGAATGGCGGCCTCCCCGCCAACCTGGTGGCTAGCACACACTTGTAGGTTCCCTGCTGCTGCCCTGACATCATCCTTTACCACCTCCATTATGCATTTTCCGATGATCCGCCTCAGCACTTCCCCCACCCCTATAGGCCTACATCCTGGTTTCTTTTCCAGAGGAATAAGGCAGCAGGCCGTCAGGGCTTGGAGGTGATGGCAGCAAGAGGATGCAAGCTTTCTTGCAAGGGCGGCAATGGCAGTGCAGAGATCGCTTGCTACAATGCCAAACTTGTTTGTGCTGAGGATGACTCTCCAACCATTTGCATCCAGACCTGAAGGGCCGGCTCCTCCTCGAGTCTTCAGTGCCTTTTTCCACACCATCTCTCCTTTTATTTTCTCGAACAGGACAGCGTTTGGTGGGGTATAGACACCCTCGAACCTGATGCCTTCTTCGTCGCTTGCAGGGGGATGTTTCTCTTTCAGTAGTTTTAATGTCTCTCTGTTTATTGGCATCACCCCACCGGAGGATTCCTCTGTGAGAGATCTTACCGCCAGAGACACTTTTCCCACACGCATTTTGTTTCCAAATTTTCTTGCCACGTCATCGATGTTTTGCTTTCCGTCACCCGTAATTTTTAGTCTCTCCTGCAGTGTTCTTGCTTCACATAGGAGATCATCTAGGGCCCCAGTCTGCCACATTGCCAATCTTCTCTGTACCTAGTGTACCTTGTTCAGGATCGTAAGCTTTAAAAAAAAAAATTGTGTGTGTTTTGAGCTTGCCAAGCACATTATAGGATTTGAAGAAGTTGGTGAAGAGTTTGTTCCGGAGTCAGGTGGTGAGGTGACATGCCAAGACACTTACACAGCACACACATTAACCGCACTACTAAACCATTGTCTTATGACATTTTACATTATAATTTCTATTTTAAAATTAAATGATACATGATAGCTCGACGGGGCTACTTCTGCACTTAGACAACTGATCAATGAATAAACCAGGGCATATGGAGGCTCATTATACATTAGTGATGTCACAAAGCCTTGAAAGTGCAACCACATAAATTATCACAACCTGTACTCAAATGTACAGTAATAAGTTAATTACTAAAATTATTATGTATGGTGCAAAATAAGGGATGTTTATACTCAAATTAATCGCTATCTTACAAGAATTTCAGCAATGCAAGTTATATTCTCTTAAGTCAAGTCAGTGACATTTAATAGGGTTAATCTCTCTTTGTGAACTAGTAAGAGATTGAAAAATCCATTAAGGGGGTAAAAGTGACTGCACCACCCCTTCCTCCAAAGGCGTCGCCTCATTGCTTGTCTACTGTACTGACTCATTCATGATACAATAATGTTTATTTGTTTTTCATTAATTAGTACAGATTGTTACTGTTTAGTAATACGTGTACCCTTCATATACAATACAGTACAATATACCCGGTAGTACTACATACAGTGATCCCTCGGTTAACGAACGCCTCGGTTTACGAAATTTCGGTTAACAAATTACCTTCCATAAGATTCTTCACTTCGGTTAACGAAAAAATTTCGGTTAACGAATTCCTTATGAATTTTTCCCAACATGTTTTCGCCTGCTTTTGCCTGCTTACCAGCTGGAGTATTAGTCCGCCAATACAGTACCGGGTAATCGGTTTTAGGGCTTAAATTCGTTACCATTTGAGTAAATATTTGGAAGGTTGTACTATTCAATAATTTTCCAAGTCTTATACAGTATTAAAGTTTTTAGTCATTTTAACAATTATTTAACATAATTGAAGTACAGGGAACTAGTTTTTAGTGCGCCAAACAGCCACCAGACTCACCCAAAATGGTGTCAGTTTGTGTCCTTGCTCAGTGGAGGAAGCTTCTTGCTTGAGACTCTTGAACATAAACTATTTTTACGTTTTTACAGTACAATTATTGGTCATTCTGAAGTTTATTTTACATATTGACAATATATAATGCAGTGCAGTGTTGATTTAAAGAAAATAATCTTGAATTACACCAAGTGAACTAAAATTTTATGGGTGAAATGACGGCATGGGGTGACTTCTCTTCCACCCCAATGCCTTCTCTTCTCCCTTCTCCTCCACCCCCATTCTAATTCCCATCATCATCATCATCATCAACCAGGAGCCTTCTACATGCACACCTCAAAGTAAGTGTACTTTGCTGCATTTATTTTTAGTTTGTGTGTAATTTTCGGTGAGCTGGAACCAATTACCCAAAATCCCATTGAAACAATGGTTTCGGTTAACGAACGACCTTCTGGAACAAATTGTGTTCGTTAACCGAGGGACCACTGTATATACCTCATAGGTAAAAAAATTTCATTCAGATCATAAGACCCACTAATCCCCCACCCAACACTTGGTGACTTGACGTTGCATCAGGTCAGGTTAGTAACGTAACACCAATAATTAATCTCCCACCCAACCTTCATTGCAAGTGTTAAGACATGATTAGTTACGTATTACAGTCAATTGAGTGAAGTGTGTAACAGAGACGTAACCGATCGCCCAAGCGACTAACGAGCCGATCGGTGGTGAAGAGGATAAAAATAACAGATAAGTTGACGCCCGTATCATATAGAGCTTTTGTTTTTTTAAATATATTTATTTAACCAAACTTTTAGATAAAGTATACAGGATTATTTTGATAAAAAAAATGGTGTGACTAATGAAATTAGAACTGATTTTACTGACACGGTATCAACAATTCTGACTCTTTTTTTATAAAAGAATGAAATTCCCATCACTGTATCTTATAGAAATATTTTTATTAAGGATATCTTATTGGAAACGTTTTGTAGAGAATTTATTAAGGATCATTATGGTATCAAATTCATCTCCCTATCACAATTAACCATGCTTGAGTGAGGAAGGGGGGGGGGGAGAAAGTGATTGCATGGCCCTCACCCCCCAAAAAGGTTCGACTCCTTCACTCTTCAGCCAAACATTATACACCAACATTACACAAACACACACACACACCCCCAACAACCACACTCACACCCCCAACAACCACACTCACACCCCCAACAACCACACTCACACCCCCAACACACCACACTCACACACCCCAACAACCACACTCACACCCCCAACAACCACACTCACACCCCCAACAACCACACTCACACCCTCAACAACCACACTCCAACACCACTCCAACACTCCTAACAAGGGAATTGTTATGCTTTTTCCAATAGAATAATAGGGTTGGTATTAACAAAGTGTAAGGGTGGACTTACTATTTAATAATTAAAACACTCAACACTGGTATGGCACACGGCAGCACTCCCACGCCACACGGCAACACTCCACGCCACATGCAACACTCCCACGATGCACGGCACACTGGACTCCCACACACACAGCTCACGGCAGGACTCCCACAGCACACACAGCTCACAGCAGACTCCACAGCACACACAGCTCACGGCAGGACTCCCACAGCACACACAGCTCACGGCAGGACTCCCACAGCACACACAGCTCACGGCAGGACTCCACAGCACACGGCAGGACTTCACAGCACACAGCTCATGGCAGGACTCCCACAGCACACAGCTCACGGCAGGACTCCCACAGCACACACAGCTCACGGCAGACTCCCACAGCACACACAGGCAGGACTCCCACAGCACACACAAACACACAGCTCACGGCAGGACTCCCACAGCACACACAGCTCACGGCAGGACTCCCACAGCACACACAGCTCACGGCAGGACTCCCGTAGCACACACAGCTCACGGCAGGACTCCCGTAGCACACACAGCTCACGACAGGACTTCCACAGCACACACACAGCTCACGGCAGGACTCCCACAGCACATACAGCTCACAGCCGAACTCCCACGGCACACACACTGCTCACAGCAGAAAGTGTTGACCGGGCCAGCCAGGAGTCCGACTGCCGGTGTGATGATTCGCAGTTGCAAGCTCACCTCCGACACACCACCTCGTAGTCCCGTTATGACGCACTGTGACGTTGATTGGTGTCAGTAATTGCTGCTTGAACCAGAGATTCCTTAGCCAGCTGGTCCACAATCATGGCATGATAGGAATTATGACAGCAAACATAAGGAGTGAGGGTCTTATTGTGTGACTAATTTGCGTGTGTGTGACCGCGAGTTAAATATCGGCTGTTGAGGAGTGCTTGGCAACACTCATTTCCACTCCATCGCTCTAATTACCCACACCTTTCTGCTTTCTCACTCCATATTTTAAAATGTTGTGCTATGTAATGTTGAAGGAATACAACTTTGCTCATTTATACTTATACTTATCACAATCTCTCTAAAAACACTTTAGGTTTCGTGTTTATTCAAGACCTCTTCAGGTCATGAGACCCACTAATCCCCTGGCCAAGAAAGGGTGACCTGACATTCCATCAGAAGGTCAGTAATATGAGACCACTAATCCCCCACCCTACTGTGACCTGACATTGGGTCAGGTCAAGTACTTGAGACCCACTAATCCCCCACAGCTCCATGGGAGTGGAAAATACCAGTCTTTGCTGTAACACACAGCTTCATTCATGCCCATGTCATATAGATTTTTTAATTTCAAATAAATTTATTTTACCATACTTTTAGGTAAATTATTCTGAATTATTATAGTAAAGAAATGGAGTTTCGAACTGAATTAAAACTGTATTTATGGACTCCGGTAGTTTAGACTCGAGGAAAACATCCCCAGCACCCAGAAACATTCTGGGGAAGTGGGCTAGTGTCTGTGTGTGCAAGATGTCGAGTTAAGACACTCGGAAACTTTTCCCAGGAACCGGAAAAGATTCTGGGCTTGAGAAAGTCGTCAGGTTAGCCGGAAATCTCTCATCCCTGGAAGTGCTCTGGACCAATTGTTCCGGCTACCGGGATATCACTGTAATTAGTAACACTTGAACTGTACTTGCATGATGTAACTATATTCTATTTTACCTACCAAGTTTATTTAATGAAATACAGTAAGTGCCCACTGAACAAAAGGGTTAGGTTCCACTAAAAAAAATTTATTAGGTGGATTATGTTCATCGAAACCATTTTTCCCGTATAAATTAATGTAATAAGGGGGATGTGTTCCTGTACTATGTTCTGTGACAGATTAATATACTGTATTAAACTCTGTAGAGTCTTGATAACTCCTAAAATACAAATTTGTGTACTCATGACAAGAATTTGCATCATACCACCAAACGCCAAACTCAAACGTGCTCTACCGCTCATCCTCCAGTCGTCAGATTGACGGGGTAGTCAGAGTAACTTGCGGGGTATTTCCTTAATATATAATTGTTGGTTATGTGAAGTAGTGGTTAATGGGACGTTGTTTTATGGGGCATACCTGTACCTGTATTATATTCATGCTTATAACATCCTGGCTTCTTTAGGTGCTTAATCCATATGTGAGCAGTTTCATCATCTCATAGATTTTCTGGCCTTTACATCATAGACCATTTGCATAGCCACTTGATCATAGGGGATTGAACCTGAATTCCTATTTCATAATGATGATCATCACTGTTTAATGACTGTTTTTCATGCTTAGATGTGTTAGCAAGAAGCTATATGGATGGCTCAGTATTCCTGCCCTCCTCCTCCTCATGGTGTGGAATAGGAGAGAAGGTCTGGCTTTAGTGGACCTGATTTGGGTATTTTTGGAGGTTCTACTCTCAATAATCAGGTGAAATAGATAACTCCGTCTCCAGGCAGTGACCATCGTAGCCCTGTAGTCTTTCTGCCTGGAAAAGAAACATCCATGTTTTTTGGAAACATATTTCAGAAGTAATGAATCCAGATATGGTTGGAAGGTAGCTTTACTGTATTAACAATTCCATTTCATTAGTCAGAATTAGGATAAAACAGGAGTCATGTGAATTAGTGCTAATATCACAGGCCATAAAATGGGGTTTCAGGATCAAAATCTTTATTTCTTTAAGTATGATTTATTAACCTTTTATTTCAGATGTTGTTCATGTGCATATGGTGGCTCAGGAAGATGTGTTGAGCTTGCCAACTCAAGTCTGTGACTTAAACCTCATGACAGTTACTCCTGAGGATCTACGAAGCATTTCTCGGTCTTTCACTTTGTCTAGTATGGGTTCACGACGACTGAATAGTATGGTGTTGTGGTTTGATGTGTGGTTCCCTGGAGGATTAAAGCTATCAACATCTCCAGATAATGAGGATACTCATTGGCAGAACACAGTCTTACCACTTGCCACTGCACCTTTACAACAAGATACACAAGTGAAGGGAGAACTTAGTATAACACAAGATCTCACAAATCATCGCTTCCTCAATGTTGACTTAAAATATTCAGTGGATAAAGGTGAAGAGATCACACGTTGTTTCAAGATGGATGATAATTGCAATGATAATGACTTCTGAGTCAGGGCCCATTCTTCCTCACCAACTCTAGTCTACCATGTAAAAGAAAAGCAGAAACTGAGAGAAGAACTCTTAATCTGGTCTAAGTGGAAAGTTAACAAATATTCTTCCACAAATCTGGTTCATTGTGATGGTGGAGTTGATGCAAAACTTTTAGATTGTGAGACAGATGAAGACTTAGAATTGCTACAAACATTAAGTGAAATACAGATTTAGTGCTTGTGGTGGTAGTAGATGTCATTTCATAATTTTATTATTCATATTTGGTATTTAGAGGGACATGCTTGCATCTGCTCAAGAAATGTAGAATGCCATGAATATGGCAATACCTTAGTGGTAGTAACATTAAGATCTCTCTTCCAAAGAATCATTATGTAAGAGTTCTGTGATTCTTGCCTTTGTTAAGGGTAAGCTTAACTCCTGCAGTGGTCTTTCACTTAGGTACAAGGATTTTCCTTTTGGAAGATTTGAATCTCAACAGTGGACCATGTTTCAAGTGCATGTGATTCTTATCACAAGGGTAAGTTTCAGTACAAATCAGTGGTGTAGTATAATTGACATTGCCTTAAACTTGCCTAAAGAAACTTGGTGTATGTAAGATATTTTCTATGCCAATTTATACTACAAACGGCTACATTGGATGAATTTTGTTGCAGTCAGTGCCATACATGCCGTCCATATGTGAATACAGTACTGCGTGTAACTGTTTGTTACATAGGTGTGACTTTATTGCTAAATTTTAAAAATGAAATATGTAATAATGCATTCAGACTGGTTTTGTCTGAGTCTCTCTTGAAGCAGTAAATTGTAAATATACAAATTATTTTTGTTTTGTTATTGTAAAACCAATAAAAGTCTCATTTTAGTCATAATATTTTCAGTCAGTGTAGAGCTATTGCAGTTTCTTTTAGAGCATGAACTGTGTTTTACAGAATTAGTGGTAAATGTTCATTGGTGTTCTCAGGGTGAATGTTGATATACTATAATTAGATTTTATATGTGGGTTAAGTCACTTATACATTCTCCATGGCTAAAAGCTTTTTATTTATATTACTTCCCTGCAACTTGATCATTATCAATTCTGGGGGTGGGGGGGGTGCTGGTGGAGTGGTACTGCTCTTGCCTCGCAAGCAAGATGTCACAGGTTCGATTCCTGGACCGGCGGAGGTTGTTTGGACACTCTTCCTAGTCCCCTTGGTCCCTGTTCACCTAGCAGCAAAGTAGGTACCTGCTGTAAATCGAAAGTTGCGAATTCGTATTCAGGGACAAGTTGTTGGAGCTTCCAATAACTTGCTTATACATAAACCATTGACTCTTCAGGCTTCTACGCCCTTAACTTATGAGGCATAAGGCAAGCATGAACTTAGCATGCTTCCCTGTTGGGCGCTGTAAACGCTTCTGCGCTTCACCTTACACAAGGATGTGGGGGGTGGGGGGGTGCCCAATAAATTAACAAATAAATAAATAATTCTTTTAGCTGTGCTCTAAAGCCAAATAACTTTTGTAATACAGGGTGCTTACTAAGGTATTGTACTAGAATTTATCTTCTGTTCCCCTCATGCAAGACAAACAAGGGTACCAGCAGGGTCAAGACCAGCAGGACAGCTAAGTGATTTTTTTAAATATTAGTCTGCCACAAGGGCATGATCATGCACACAACTTAGTTCACTTAGATTACAATTAGTAGGTGTGATTAGAAAGGAAGTCACCCCAGCAAGGGGTAAATTTCTTCATCAGAATAAAGTGGAAGGTTGGCATCATCTCCCTTCCTCCCAACACACCAGACATGAGGACTACTGTAGGAATACAGCTGGGTCGTGGTCTTTAAAAAGTCTTTGACAATTAAGCCTTGACTTACAGTTAAAATTATATCACATCAAAAACAGAGTCTAGACATCCCCCACACTAGCTCTCCCTCCCCAGGATTGCCAACAGCTGTCAAGCACTGTGTGTCTCATAGGTGTAAGTACTTAAAAGGAAGAAGAAAGTTTGTGAAAGGACATGTATAGACATGGGGAATCAGGGGTTAAAACCCCAGGGTCACCAAGTAGTTTGCTGACATGCAATTACTGCAAGGGGACGACTTCTAGGGCGGATTGTGTGAGTCCGACCGCATCAATGTTTAGGACATTGCAGAATGCGGGAAAGCAAGAAGGCTGTTGCTAGTACTGCCCTGACTGCATAACCAAAGTAAATAAGAATATTGCAGATCATAAGGGGATGAGAAACTCGAGACAAAATTAGATGAAGCTGGATCCCTGTTGGTAACCAAACTAGAGTAAGTTGGGAAAGAGATCCTCACTAAGACTGAGAAAGAATCTGATAGAATAGAGGGAGTAGTGAAGAAGAGTTATGCTTAGGCTTTAACAGGACCACAGATGGTGATGGAGAGTAATGCAGGATCTGAACAGGTCCTTCAGTAGCTAGGGACTCCCCAGAAGTGTATTGAAGAGATGGTTAACAGACCAACTGATAATGGAGAGGAGGAACATTTCGAGTGCAGGAACAACCTAATAGTGTTTGAAGTCCCCAAGAGCCAGTCAGAGGAAGCTGAGAGTAGGAAAATGCATAAGATGAAGTTTGAGAATATTTGTACAGAGGCTCTGAATATGTCAGCCCCCCTCTGGATGTGAGGAGGCTAGGACAAAAGCAGGTGAACAAACCTCGACCCCTCAGGGTCACATTAGTGAGTGAGAATGAGTAATGGGAAGTTATTCAGCAGGCAAAAAAACTTAGCAAAGAGCGATGCATTTTGGAATACACTATATTCATACACCCAAATAGCAAGGGATAATGCAGAGGGAACAGCACAAAAACTCCTATGGCACTTGAAGCAAAAGATGGAGGATTTGAAGAGGAACAGGGACGGACGTGCATGGGCTATATACAAGGGGAAGGTAGTGGAAGCAAGAGTGCCAGTACAGAACCAGGGTACAGCGGGACTATACTGCCAGACTGGGGGTCACTAATTCTAAGAGTAAATACTTAACTAATCTTAATTTCTAAGGGTCGCTGCCACCAGACCCCCTCTGGACAGCATGTAGCTCGTTAGGTAGCGTGCAGAGTGGACTAGGCTTTGGGTTTGGTTTTTCATTGACTAGATCGTTAAGGGGAAAGAAGGGTGAAACCATAACATGTCTTAATTAATTTATTCCTTATAAAGCATACTGGTAAAAAACATACAAATGAATTGGCCTTCCTCAGAAGAACCACGAAAATGTTGGTTACCCCGCTTGGCACCAGACGTCTCACATTAATGGCGTGTCATCCACATACTTATTGCATAACAGTCTGTGACCTCCTTACCTCGGTCATTCCTTTTTACACTACCCCTTAACACATCAGACTGCTCCACCTGTATGGAGTATAGCACCGTCGGTTAACATACATAGTAGCACCATCTCAACACCTGTTACACTCCACACCTGCAGGTATGGGACTCCTTGTAATTTTTAGGTACACATAACAGGCGCCTCGTTCGCACACTGTCCTCGGTGGGTAAAGACAAGGGCTTCACCAAGAGACATACCAGTACTATTTCTACGCCTCGTATTATAGGTCGCTCCAAGTGACGACCGCGGAGTTTCTCACGGTCTCCTTATTTGTTACTACTCATTTGGAGTGGTGTGCTGGGAATCCACAGGTTCACAGTGGATTGGCATAGCTGGGAGTAGTCCACCTGGTGGGACGCTCACAGGGATAATGGCTGCCGCGCAGCAAGGCACTCTGACCGCATGGGACCTGAGGTGACGGTAGAACGGAGGGTACTGAGAAATAATGCCTGACGGGTGGTTATCACACACCCTAACACATTACTATTACACTTATACATCGGGCAAAGCTTTAAACTATAATAACTTCTATATAAGCCTTAATTACAGGGCAGGATATAGCCCGATAGGACACTGACCTGAGGTGACGGTAGAACGGAGTGTACTGAGGGCAGTGCCCCGCTGCTCGTCACCGCGTAGGCCTACAGTTTCCAATCTTTAATTTTTACTTTTATTTCTTACGGTTCTCACCTGAACACTGTTCGGTATATTGTCACTCATGCTGTATAAACACATATTTTAAACCTAAATTACAAACTAAGGTAAGGTTCTGGTTTGCTAATTCGTGGGTAAATTCATTGGGTTATAATATCAACATGGCACACTCGAGGCGGGTACAGGACGCTCCCTAAAACAAAGGCCGAATGTTCATGGCGTGGGTGTATCCACTTCACTTAAAACTGTAATTAGGGATCCTCCTCTCACACATTGCACTATTTGAACACAGGCATAAGATTCTCTGATCACTGTACATGTCATGGGTACATGTCACGTGAGGATACGAGGTGTATTAAGTTCACACCGACGCATACAAGATATTTCCTTTCAAGTATAGTATCTGGGTCACTTCCAACACCTCACATAATTCTGATACATTTATCCTTTTTCCAGATCATTGTTCTCATGTATTTTCATATGATATCTGTGGAAGTTATGTTCGCTACACGTTCACAGATGTAAATAGTATGACCTTCAAATCATGATCCACACATAGTCCTACAGTACACTAGTCCAGCTCAACTGGACTTTCCCAATCATCTTATGGATACCCTGAGTTCTCCTTAATGCTATGAATACATACAATTAATATTATATAACTGTACCTGGGTACAATACAACACATGGTCTAGTAACATTGAGTAGGTGAGTTATCCTTTATCAGTGTTTCCCGTTTTCTGAGATTCTACAAGCGCGGTGGATTTGAATGTTATATAGTGTAATATAAATTAAATGGGGTTTTTAGGAATGACAATGATGTGCGCAGTATAGGACACTCCCCACCCGCTCTACCTCCCAACCAGGAGGAGGCGAGCTCCATGTAAGCAATGTTGTCTCTGACCACACACCGCAAAATACAATGTATTTCGTACACTAATTCTAACACGTTCCTTGATAAGAGAGAGGAGTTTGAAACACTACTGAAGGTACATCAACCCGATATAGTAGGTGCTGTAGAACTGTACAACAACAGGAGAATCGACCTGGAGGAATGCGAGTTCAATATACAGTAAGTCCTCGCTTAACGTCGGGGTTACGTTCCTGAAAATGCGACATTACCAAACATCATCATTAACTCGAATACGCTGGATAGCTTCAAACACATACTCGTAAGTTCGTTTGTGGTTCGTGAGCTCGAAGTGAAATTTGTTGTGCCATTTTTTCCTAGTATGAAAGTTGCCTTTTTTCCTGTGCCATTTTTTCCGAGTACCATGTGTGTAGTGTGTATGTGTGGTTGTGGAGGTGGAGTGTGTGTTAGGGTGTGTGTGTGGTTGTGGAGGTATGTGTGTATGTGTGTGGTTGTATATGTGTTTGTGTGTGGTTGTTGAGGTGTGTGTGTGGTTGTGTGTGTGTGTGTATGTGTATGTGTATGTTGATCCAGCTGTAGCACATGCTTTCAGAGAGCAGCTCGAACATGGACTTATAAACAACCCAACAGCAAACAACATGAATCCCAGTGCCGAATGGGATACTCTTAATACTGTTATGACATAGACCTGCAGAGAGACCTTTGGCCAGTTCGAAAGAATACACCAGGACTGGTTTGATGAAAATGACGCAGCAATTAAAGTACACACCGATGATAAACGTGCTGCTCTATACTGAGTGGCAGAACAACCCTCAGTCTCGGACCAAAGCTGATACCTTCCACAAGAAGAAAGCGGCAGCCCTGCGGGAACTTCGCAATCTAAAGAACAACTTAATTAAAAATAAATCATGTGAAGCACAAAAACATGCAGATCAGCATAAGATGCACGAATTTTTCATTTTCACTAAAGCATTTTATGGGCCAGTCACTCGTGGCACAGCCCCCCTT